GGAGAGAGAGAGAGAGAGAAAGGAGAGAGAGAGAGAGAGAAAGGAGAGAGAGAGAGAGAAAGGAGAGAGAGAGAGAGAGAAAGGAGAGAAAGGAGAGAAGAGAGAGAGAGAGAGAGAGAGAGAGAGAGAGAGAGAGAGAGAGAGAGAGAGAGAGAGAGAGAGAGAGAGAGAGAGAGAGAGAGAGAGAGAGAGAGTGTGAGTGAGTTGAGAACAAGACAAAGAAACAGAGTGAGAGAGAGAGAGATAGACAGACAGACAGAAAGCAAAAACACAAAAAGCGATGACTTGTAATCCATAAACGCACCCCAGATTCGAGGACATCCATAGACATAATAAGAGCGATAGAGAGAGTGAAAAAAAAGAGAAACAAAGAAATAAACTAAGAAAAAAAGAAAAAAAAAGAAAAAAAGAGAAAGACCAGAGTGAGAGAGAAAGAAAGAAAGAAAGAGAAAGGCGCGCGGGCATCTACCTACACAAAAACGCCATACTTAGCGCCGTTCCCATCACCTTCTCCCGGGATACATAATTAGGAGCGCTCCCTACGCACGTCCTACGTTCGGCCGCGATCGCACCAGTCCTTCTCGACCGCCGGCTTATGCAACGGCCGTGTTGTCTCTTTCCCTGGTCGATATATTGCAGAATATATTGCAATACACACTAGCAACAACAACGACAACAAGAACAGCAATGATAACGTCATTGGCACAGACGACGACAAAACAGTAATAACAACAATAATGATGACGATAATAATTCTAAATATACCAGTACACAATAATGCTTGTAAAACATTATATAAAGCTTATATTTGACCTTATGATTTCCACGACCCCATTACACGCACTTGCTACAGGCGATGACTGGCACATGGCTCGCCCCTACACAGCGCCCAGCTACAGACAAAGGAGTCAAGTTCCTGCGCAAACAGCTGTCAAATAACCACGTTAGTGTTACAAGGAGTCGTGTAGCTGGTGTTATATTTCGCTACAAACGTTTTGTAAAAACACTTATAAGAAAACTGAAATCTCAAGAGATCCAAAGACGATTTACATCGGACAGCAAACAAACAAAAGACATGAGCGCGCGCGCCTCTACACAGAAGTCAGACAGTGTCGCTGAAACGCGCGCGCACGCATGCACGTACACACACGTACACACACGTACACACACGTACACACACACACACGTACACACACACACACGTACACACACACACACACACACACACACACACACACACACACACACACACACACACACACACACACACACACACACACACACACACACACACACACACATAAACATACACATACACATACACATACACACATACACACATACACACATACACACATACACACACACACACACACACACACGAACATAATACCATACGAGCACAAAATCATACACATAGATTTAGACTTATATTCATACTTACACATTCACATAACCACATACGCATAAATATTCATACACGGATATACACGTCCACGCCCCCACTATCGCCCACGGTCCCGCGCACACGCATTCACATTCTCATTCACGAAGAGCGGACTTGGTACGAGCGCAAGCAGGAGCAGAGTGAAGGAGGCTCGAGTCTGCATGTCAAGAGAATTCCCGCCCTACACACTCCGAGTGTCGGGTTGCGGGAGAGACGGATCCGCCCAGAGCCAAGACGTGCCTGTGTATCCTCATCAATAGAGCTCCATGACTATACGGCCCCATCCATCCCGTTTCGGCTTCCCAAGACGGTGCTGGAGCCGAGGGAATTCCAACCTCAGACATGCATATCGCCCATGAACGACATCGCCTAAAACTCTGCGGCGCCACCCGCCATGTTTCACTAACTCCGATCGACTAGGAAACAAAAAATTGAACGTCTCTACATAATTAGTGCAACGAAAATGGTCAATGGCAAAATGCGTCAATCAAGGCCTACATACATGTTTTTTTTATTAGTAGGAGTCAATTAACTTCACACCCACCATGTTTCAATCAAAATCTAGTCAAATGAACAAGTAAGATGATTCTAATTCTGTGCTTAATTAATGCGTCAATGATGGCCGTGGAACGTAGATACTTTACAGGCCCTGAACCACGTATATTACCCATCAGCAGCATATATTCTATGGTTCTGCCCGCCATGAAAAACAATACAAACCTCATGAGTGAAACCAAACTAACTGCATATCAACCAGCCATGTGCCATGAACGCCTTAACGATGACCAATGAATGCTGGGACACAGAACATTCCCGACCCTGAACTATGGCCAGGACACAGTAAGTCTCCCACCAACGAACTCTACGGTCCTGTCCCACCGCGTTTCAATTACCCAAAGTCAATATCAACTTGAGGAATGAAGCCTTCTACGCACCTTAGCGGCGGGAGACACTGAGACCCAGTTCCCGGAGTCGAGGCTGAACTTGCCCTCGCCGATACGCTGTAGGATGTCTTCTGGCGTGTCGCTGGGGCCCTGCGCGAAGGGCGTTTGCCTGTAGGGGAGAGAGACAGGGTAAAGGTCAGATACCGATCATATTCAATCACTGAAAAAAGATGATCACAACAACAGCTATTTCTTAACACCGATAAAACGACGCCACCAGAATCATCATCACAATCATCATCACCGACCTTATTAACCATCATCAAGCTCTCCCAGCTGGTCAGCCTCCTCCTGAGAGCACCGCTGGAGGCACCGACCCAAAGCACGCTGGGCCTAACCCCCCCCTCCCCCCTCGGCACATGTTCACAGCCCTCACGCCCCCCCTCCCCACTCCCCTTATCCTACACCGGGGCGTTATCTGTCACCTCTAATTCTTCCGTTTCGTTCACCACGCTCTCTCTTCTCCCTCATTCGCCTCCCTCTGTCCTCCCGTCGCCCTGTGCCATCGCCACGAAATTAAATTTACATAGTTTATGAATATATTGAATACTGCTGCAGGGAGGGAGGAAGAGAGGAAATGGAGGAAGGAAGTGAGGGGGATGAAGAGAGGGAGAGGACAGAAAGAGGGGAAGAAGGCCAGAGACTCGCTAGTGAGGGATAAAGAAGATGTGACCGAGAAAGAGGCGAGAGGAGGAGGAGGAGGAGGAGGAGGAGGAGGAGGAGGAGGAGGAGGAGGAGGAGGAGGAGGAGGAGGAGGAGGAGGAGGAGGAGGAGGAGGAGGAGGAGGAGGAGGAGGAGGAGGATAGGGGACAAAGAACGACTGAACGACGAGACAAAAAGACAAAGAAAGAAGAAGGCAAAGAGGAAAAAAAAGAGACCTACTTGAAGATATATACAGAAAGAGAGGAGAAAGAGAAGAGAGAGATAGCAAGAGAAGAGAAAGAGGAGGAGAGAGAGAGAGAGAGAGCAAAAAAAAAAAAAAGAGAGAGAGAGAAGAGAGCGCCGCAAGAGGACGGGATTACTTCGTCCAATTCACAAGTTTAAGTTTGGCCTCAAGTCAACTCCTCTCGGCAGTGCTACCCGAACCCCTTGAAAGATCTTACCTCCTGCAATCTCTATATAACTTGTGGAGACACGCCCACTACCACGCCCGCGCCCACGTTCACGCCCATCCCAACCCTCTCTAACCCGCCCCGTCGACAACTCTCTTCACACCAATATCACACCCATCCTTTTTCCCTCCCTCGCCCTCCACCATACGCCCATCACGCCCTCCCGTTTCCCATCACGCCCTGCCATTCCCCATCACGCCCTCCCGTTTCCCATCACGCCCTGCCATTCCCTATCACGCCCTCCCATTCCCCATTATCCAGCTCACCCACCGACGCGCCCTGGACCATCGTGAAATCACCGGCGAGAGAGCGCCCAATCTCGAAAACCATTTTGGAGTACAGGCGAGCGGGTGACGCCGACACTTTTGAATCTCGGAGTTTATCGAAAACGAGACGGATGCGGGGAGGAGGGAGGAGGGAGGAGGGAAGGGGAGGGAGGGAAGGAGCAGGAGGGAGAGGGAGGGAGGGAGGGAGGGAGGGAGGGAGGGAGGGAGAGAGGGAGGGAGGGAGAGAGGGAGGAGGAGGGAGGAGGGAAGGAGAGTGAGGCGGGAGAGAGAGAGGGAGGAGGGAAGAAGGGAGGGAGGGAAAAAATGAGGAAGAATGCAGGGAGTGAGGAGGGAGGGAGAAAGGAAGGATACGGGAGAGAGAGAGAGAGGGAGGGAAGGAGGACGCAGGCTTCGTCGTGGTAAATGCGCGACGCTCGTACAACACTGGAGACGAGGGAAGAAGAGTGTTAAACGAAGGAAAGGAAAGGAAAGGAGAGGAGAGGAGAGGAGAGGAAATGAGATGAGAGAAGAGGAGATTAGGAGAGAAGAGGAGCGGAGAGCAGAGGTGAAAGGAGAGGAGAGGAGAGGAGAGGAGAGGAGAGGAGAGGAAAGAGAAAATTGCAGAGAGGAGATGAGAGGAGGGAAGAGAGAATGGGAGAGCGGAAAAGAGAGCAGAACGAAGGTATGCAGGGAAACATCGACGGGCAAGTAGATCGATAGACACGCCGATAGACAGACGGGGATGCAGTTAAGCAGGGAGGCGGAGAGCAAGAACAAAAATACCCGAGCGGAGGCGACGGTCCAGCCGGCCAGTCCCTATCCCGGCCAACACCTGTTCCATCACGCTCTCCCTCTGACACCACTCACACCACCTCTCCCATCCTGCGCGCCTGCCACCAACACCACCACCACCACCACTACCACCAACTCCTCCTCTTCCTCCTCCTCCTCCTCCACGTCCGACTACCACCACCACGGCACCCTCCCCCACCCACCCACGCCCACCCCCTGTCTATACCTGCGATCTCCATACCTTTTACCAGCAGAAGGAACACCCAAGGCCAAACCCACCCACCTACCCACCCACCCTACAACCCACCCACCCACCCACCCATCTTTTCTCCCACTCTCCCTCCCTCCCTTCCCTCCCCCCCCTACCTTCTCCCCCATCCACACATCCTATAAAGGACCTGCCGAGGATAAAACAGTTTTCTTGGAGGCACTGTTAGCGAGGGGAGAGGGAGGGAGGGGAGAGGGAGGGAGGCGAGAGGAAGAAGGGGAGAGGGAGGGAGGGGAGAGGGAGGGAGGGGAGAGGAAGAAGGGGAGAGGGAGGGAGGGGATGGAAACCGGGAGGTAGAGAGTGAGGGGGGGTAATGGAGATGGAGAGGGAGGAGGGTGGAGGGAGATGGGAGGAGGGAGGGGGACGTGAGGAGGACGGGGAAGTGCGTGAGGTCTGTTGGGGGAGGGGGAGGGGGAGGGGGGAAACCTGTCACAATATTCTTCTGCAGGCGCGCGTCCTGGGGTTGTGGTGGCGTTAGCTGCCTTAATGTTGTTGGCGGAGGGCGTGGTGGGGGAGGAAGGCGTGGTGGTGGTGGCGGCGGAGGGCGTAGTAGTGGAAGAAGGCGAGGTGGAGAAGGAAGGCGTAGTGGTGGAGGAGGGAGTCGCGATGGGGAGGGAGTAATGATGGTGAAGGAGGAGGGAGTGGTAATGAAGCGCAAGTAGTGATAAAAAAGGGGATGGTGATGGAGAGAGGACGGTGACGAAGAGAGAGTCATACATCGATAAGGAAATCCTGTTGGGAGCAGGGAGCGTGCTATTAACGAAGGAATAGCTGCTGGGGAAGAGAAAGACGACGGAGGAGTTAAATGAAGCGAAAGGAGGCGGAAGAAAATAGAGATAGTAAACAAGCAGTAGGGGAAGAGGAGGAAGAGGAGGAAGAGGAGGAGAAGGAGGAAGAGGAGGAAGAGGAGGAAGAGGAGGAGGAGGAGGAGGAGGAGGAGGAGGAGGAGGAGGAGGAGGAGGAGGAGGAGGAGGAGGAGGAGGAGGAGGAGGAGGAGGAGGAGGAGAGAGGAGGAGGAGGAGTAGGAGGAAGAAAAGGAGGAGGAGAAGGAGAAGGAGGAGGAGGAGGAGGAAAAGGAGAAGGAGAAGGAGAAGGAAGAAGAGGAGGAGGAGGAGGCGACTGATGGAGAGAAAAAAAATGATGGAGACGAGGGAGTTGCAGAGAGGAAGCTTAAATTGAGGGAATTGCAACGGGGAAGACGTGATCACAGGCCGGGCGAGAACATTGATGGAGTGAGCGAGGGAGACCTGTCAGACGTGTGACGATGGGGTGGCGGCGCGGATGAGGCAGAGGGGGGGGGGGTGATGGGGGAGAGCGATGAGGGAGAAAGTAGGACGGAGGAAAATATGATGAGGGAGAGAGAAACAGAGAGAAGGACAAAGCAGGAGACTCGGGGACCGGTGACGAAAATGGCAAAGGAGGGAAATGGCGATGGCGATGGACAGGATGGAGAAGGGAGAAAGAGGGAGAAAGAGGGAGAAAGAGGGAAGAATGGGAAGAGAAACAAGAGGAAAATAACAAGAGAGAGAGGAGAGAGAGAGAGAGAGAGAGAGAAGGAGGAGAAGGAGGAAGAGGAGGAGGAGGAGGCGGAGGAGGAGGAGGAGGGAGGAGGCGGAGGAGGAGGAGGCGGAGGAGGAAGAAGAAAAGGAGGAGGAGAAGGAGAAGGAGAAGGAGAAGGAGAAGGAGAAGGAGGAGGAGGAGAAGGAGGAGAAGGAGGAAAAGGAGAAGGAGAAGGAGAAGGAGAAGGAAGAAGAGGAGGAGGAGGAGGCGACTGATGGAGAGAAAAAAAAAAAAATGATGGAGACGAGGGAGTTGCAGAGAGGAAGCTTAAATTGAGGGAATTGCAACGGGGAAGACGTGATCACAGGCCGGGCGAGAACATTGATGGAGTGAGCGAGGGAGACCTGTCAGACGTGTGACGATGGGGTGGCGGCGCGGATGAGGCGGAGGGGGGGGGGGTGATGGGGGAGAGCGATGAGGGAGAAAGTAGGACGGAGGAAAATATGATGAGGGAGAGAGAAACAGAGAGAAGGACAAAGCAGGAGACTCGGGGACGGTGACGAAAATGGCAAAGGAGGGAAATGGCGATGGCGATGGACAGGATGGAGAAGGGAGAAAAGAGGGAGAAAGAGGGAGAAAGAGGAGAAAGAGGGAGAAAGAGGGAGAAAGAGGGAGAAAAGAGGGGAGGAAGAGGAGGAAGAGGAGGAAGAGGCGGTGAGACGGGCATAGACGAGCGCCTGATGATGGAGAATGGGAAGAGAAACAAGAGGAAAATAACAAGAGAGGGAGAGAGAGAGAGAGAAGGAGGAGAAGGAGGAGAAGGAGGAGAAGGAGGAGAAGGAGGAGAAGGAGGAAGAGGAGGAGGAGGAGGAAAAGGAGAAGGAGAAGGAAGAAGAGGAGGGGAGGAGGAGGAAGAGGAGGAAGAGGAGGAAGAAGAGGAAGAGGAGGAGGAGGAGGAGGAGGAAGAGGAAGTGGGAGAAGTGGTGAAGGGGATGGAGAAAAAATGAGGAAGAGTAACCATACGAAAAAAAGGCGAAAGAGGAGGAGGAGAAGGAGAAAACATTAAGCCAGATACCGGAGGATTTAGAAAGTCTGAAGACCGTCAAAAAAAACACTATCAATGGGCAAGAGAAAAGGGGTTAAACAAGAGGCCACCACCTGTTCGTACACC